CAAATATTTAGATGGAGAAATTCCATTAGAAGGCCTAATTTTTGGATATTGTGTCACAATAAGGTCTGAAGTTTTTTCAATCGAGATTTTCAGTTTTGAGTTATTCATTCTCAATTAAAGGCTTACTTTGATTTTGTATTTCATATTATCTAAATTTGATAGCCCCAAACATCATCAATAGTCAAGCTTAGAAAAAAATTGAATAACTTTTGATAATTTATTTTTTTTAATGTTACTACATATTCAAATTATCATTTACTATGATATTTAAATCATAAATTCTTAAAATTTAGTTTTTAAGTTTTTTTAACTTTTAATATATATTTTGTTAATATTTGGAAGCAATGTAAATAATATGAATTAGTATTCTTACAACGTAATTTTATTACAGATATTTAATAATTTATTATAAGCATTTAAAATATAAATTTTAAATTAAAATAATTTGTTTACAAAATTATGCCAAAATACAAAGTTGGCAGAGGTAATAAATTTATAATTCAAATGTAAAAGTAGACATTTTATTGATAATAATATAAAATTGAAACATGTGTTGAAAATTTTGAAAATTAGGACCTTGTTGTGACGCAATACTTAAAAATCAAGCCCAAAATTTCTTCTCAATCAATCGTGCTTATACATTACATCAGTTTTAATTCACTATTCATACACTCATACATTTTACTACTTATCATATTCAATAACACTAGTATCTAACCCCGTGCGATGCACGGGCTGTATTTGTTTTGGTAAAATTTATAATTGAATGTTGTTAATTAGTAAGTTATAATACATAGAGCATTTGTTAGGTAATCGTAATATGTTCATCATGAAAAAGTCATTCATTATGAAAAAGCTCTTTGTTTTTCTATGCGAAATTATTTGGCACTTGGCAACCGTAGATCGATTTACCATAATTGCTCTCCACTTAGTAATTGCGAATTGCATAGGCACCTCTTTCCTTTAATTTTTTGTTGATTTCCAAAATGTCACCACCACGAAATAAAACTGTAGCGAAAACATGCAATATTGAGATAAATATTAAAGATATAATTTATCTGGTGAAGTTTAATTTTATATAGAATATAAGAAAAGTTGTTACCTTAAAGTGTGGATTTTGAATATATCTTGTTTTTTTCAAGCATTCTCATTTTTTTATGCCAAATTCATTCTAATATTTAGGAAAAAATTGTTTTTGTTATGTTTTAACAGAGATTTGGGATTTTGATACATTATTTGTGACATTTATGCAACCAATATAGTGATTCATATGCAATGAAATCGTTATGTACTATTTATATTAACCAATAATCATATTTTAAACATAATACCATTATCTAACTTATAATTTTAATATTATATGCATAAATATAACTTATAATACTATATATTTAAAATATAATACCATTATATTACTTATAATTTTAATACTATATGCATGCAAATAACTTATAATATTTTTATTTACATACTATACAAATACACAGGTGGAATACTAGTTAAAACTAAAAAGGAAATTCGTATTATAATTTTGCGATTAATAAATGTATAACTTATGTTCATATGTCATTTATATGACTCGTTTATAGCATGTGGGATATAAAATACTTTGGTTTTGTTGGATATTTTGGTTTGGTTTGGTTTTTTTAATTTTGAAAACTAGTATGGTTAGTTGTTAGTGGATATATTAAAATGATTTAAAATAAACAGTATTTTATGTAATAGTAATTAATAATAAATTTAAGATCATGATATATTGAAGTTAATTATTGAATGAAAAAGTTTAAATATTTTAAGTGTTAATAATTAAAATATTATTCACCTTGATATTTGAATGCTCAGGTGAAGATTAATTAACTTCATTGACTTTGTGACAAAATTTAAAAAAAAAAAAATCATGTTAAATATAGTGGAAAGGACATTTTCTAAGAGTGCACAATTGAAGTTAGCTGAATAAACATGCATCAATAAAAAGTTACAATATTCATCTAAAACATTTTATCATTTGTAGCTCAAAATTCACTAAATGAATCGGATGACATGTAAATCACGATTTTTAAATGAAAAAAATATTTCATAAATAAATTGATAAAAAATGATTCAAAATGATAAAAAAAAATTGTGATAATATGAACAAAAAGATGTTTACATGAGTAGTGGGATAGTTAATCGAATATTGTGGCAATTTTAAAAAACATGTTAGCATGATTGAAATGAAATCTTTACAATATTTTTTACTTTTAGTTAAGTTGCATATATTGCATAACTATATGAAAAAAATAAAAAATTTAAAGTTCAAATATGCAATTTATTTATATGTATATTATAAAGTGTACAATCAAAATGATTATATTTTATTTAGTATTTATATTATTAATATTGATACCATGATTATTGTAAATTTCTCTCATTTTTACGACAAATTTATATTATATTAAAATGAATTGATAAGTCTAAAAAGAGATATATACTGAACTAAAAAGATTGAATCGTGGTTAAACTATTTGATTCCATAATTATACTACTTTTGAAAAGATACTCCATAATAATACTGATTTTAAATCAAATTGATTCCAAACAGTCGGATTTAGTGTTTAATCAAATACTGTGGAGTATCTTTTTAAAACATCAATCCAGTTGTTAAGGGAAGTTAAAACTGATTACAGTTAATGCTTTGAGATTTGTTTTAAGCTCCATTTGTTTGGAGGAATTTGAAATCCCTTGATTAAATTTTTGAAATATAAATTTTTATATTTGCACACTCCTTGAATGGATGTGTTGAAAATATTATAAATAAATTGTCTAGCCTGCACAAATAATGTTGACTCGCGGTGGTGATGAACCTAAATGATCGCGGATGGCGTGGTCATCAACGTTGATAAACAGTGGATTTCAAATGACTAGGTTTTATGAGTCATTTCAAATCCTTCAAAATAACTAAAAAACATATAGCATAAATTTGAAATCCTCCAACTTCCATTATCATCCCAACATGCATGAGCATTTGAACTTGTAAATTTGAAATTTATGGATTTCAAATCCATCAGTAAATCCCTCAAAACAAAGGGAGCCTTAAGGAATTGTGTAAAATTATTATAATTATGATGTAATTAATATATAATGACGGAAAATGCTTACTATATTTGATTTAAATTTATTCTTATTTTATATATATAGATTAATTCTATTTATACATCAAATCAACTTTAAGCATTATATTTTAAATACTAGTAAAGTGCACGTGCATCGCACGTGGTGGTGAATGTTTTTGCTGATTAAATTTAGTAAAAATAAATTATTTAATTCATAAAATCATATCATTGCAAGAAGGAAATAAAATATATAACAACTGAGCCTCTAATATTTTTTTTTTAAATAGCATACTGATGTCCTAATATAAAAATAATGAAATGACATATTACCACCCCAACAAAAATATAGTCCCTGAGTGAAAAAAAAAAAATAAATAAATAAATAAATAAAAGAGTATTCTTTTTCGTTTTGGTTTTGACGTTTTCATAAGAAATATTCTTTGGAGCCCAGTCTATCAATAGTATTGTAAAATTCTTCTTTATTCATTTGGCAACACGTATACTTTATTCAAACACTTACAAATATTATGGTCAAACATATAGTCAAACTTTGTAATTGTATGATCTTTATAAGGTATTTCTACTAACATTTCATGAATATCTTTGTAAAATAGCCAACCGTATCATTAAATTGTTGATATTTTTTATCATTAATGTATAAACTACTTCATTACTATATCCATATAAAAAAATTGGTACCTACCCCACAGAGACATTGCCCTACGGGGTGGGAATGAACTTCATTTCCAAATAAAAATTGACTATCTAAAATCTTAGTCATATGTACTTCTCCTGATACGCTAAATTACTTTTTGAAATCTTTATATTACATGAATGTACGTACTATAATGTAATCGCACATATGTTCGAGCAAAGTACACAATGAGATTGTAAATATTCCTATAATAAAGGGACAATTTCATTCCAACATTCAAGAATGTTTTGATCAGGCTTCGATATTTTTTTTCAATGTTATTTATTTGGAAGACAAACGAACTATTTAATCTATTGTTTGCAAATCATTAACCATCTTGGTTGTTGCAATGATTTTTGTGTTGTTTATTATAATATCTTTCACATTCGTTCGAATTTGCAGTACTTGTGTGCCTAATAATTAATTTAATGCTCTTATTGTCCAATTTGTTTTGCATCATACATAATGCTTCAAAAATTCAAGATAAAGATCATTTCTTGGAAAAAAAAAAAAGAGAGCAATTAGACAATATTAAGAAACATATCATTCGTTAAATTTGTAACTAAAAAAAATTAATGCTAACATACCAATTTTTAATGCCAAAAATATATATTTTTATGTACTTAAAAGTTTTAGTTTAAATAAATGTTCATGTTGAATATGTTTTTTATTTTATCACCATTTTTGACCTATGGATTGAATGCGAGCTATATGCTTTTGCATTGCCTAGTCATACATTTCTATTACGTAGAACACCATTCTTACCCCTTGTTTAGTTATTATAATTCTAATAAAATAATTAAGGCAAAAATACAAAAAAGATACACTAAGTTGGGCGTTGTCAACATAAGAGACATTATGTTTTTCATCTCGGAAAAGACACGCGAAGTTGGCATTTTCGTCGGAAACGATACACTAATCACCCCTGCGGGATAAAAATCTGACGTGGCCTGATTATCTATTTACGTGGCATTTAATCTTTCGGTATATTCATGCGTGGAATTTACGTGGCCGACACAGTGGACATGTGGCCTAATTTTGGAGGGAAATCCCAACACACCTGTACGTCTGCCCCGCCCCTATTTCATTTCAAACGTGAAGAAAAAACCCTAGATTATCTTCATTTCAATTTCGACCTCAATCACTCACATAATGAAGAAAAACTAACCTAGATTATCTTCCAGTTCAATCACTTACATCAATTTCGACCTTAATCAATCAACCACTGTCACAATGAAGAAAAAACCAGTTCGAAAATCGAATCCCATTTTGAAGTTAGCAAGAGGCCTTCGTGTTTCCGACTGCGAGATTCAAATACGACCCAGTGACAAAGAATGTTCCCCAGCTCCTAGATATAGTATGTATTTAATTTTAATTTTAATTTTGTCAGTCTACACTATTTTCCTTTCCTGGATGCTTTTTCATTGTAATTTTTATTGTTACTGCAGGTTCAACTAGTAAATTCTTCACAGTCACCCTAGAATTTGGGGGTAAATTTGATATTGGGAAAAAATATTCTGCATATCTAGGTGGGAGTACAATAATGTTTGACTATGTGGATTATGAAAGGGTCACACTTGCTGACTTTAAGTCTGTGGCAGAATTTAAAGGGTGCAAAAATCCTATGAGACTGCACACATATGTTGGTTGTGGGAGTTTCATGTTACTTTCAACTGAGACTGATCTTGAGAGTGTGTGGCAAAGACAATTTAACAAGGTTAGGGAGGTTAGTTTGTTTGTTGAAGAGCTAAGTGAAAATACAGAAATTGTTAATGCACCTGAAATTGAAAATGAGGTTGGTGAAGATGATAGTGATGAAACTTTTGAGTGGGAGAATGATAGTGAAGTTGACAAGTTGGATGACATCTTGTTTGATGAAAATGTGGATGAAGTTGAGGTTGAGGTTGGGGTTGAGGCAGAGGAGGGTGAGGTTGAGGGTGAGGGTGAGAAGGGTGAGGGTGAGAATGGTGAGGGTGAGGGTGAGGGTGAGGGTGAGACTGAGCTTGGGGTTGAGAAGGGTGAGCTTGGGGTTGAGATTGAGGCTGAGAAGGTTGATGAGGGTGAGGAGAGTGATGAGGGTGAGGAGAGTGATGAAGATTTAAATCAGGTCGTGGATGAGGTTGCTGAGTTTATGGCTAAGAATGGTGGGTTTGATGCTGATGGTGGTGTTGGTGGGGAGAGTGAGGAAAGTGAGGATAGTGAGGAGAGTGATAATGATATTTTGGATTGGGAGTATGACATGGAAGCTGACAAGGTAGATGACAAGATGTTTGATGATAATGCGGATTTTGATGCTGAATGGTTGCATGGTCAAGGGGAAGGTGTTAAGAAATGTGCAAATGATGGTATCTCAGTTGAAAATGAAACTGATGTGGTCAATTGTGATGATTTGCATAGTGATGATAGTTCTGAAGGAAAGAATGTAGGTCACCAGTATCCTATTTTCAACACTGCAGAGTTATATGATCCTACTTTCAGGGTAGGTTTGGTTTTCAGTACCAAAGGTGAACTAAGGACAGCAATTCAGTCAAATGCAATCTAATGCAAAAGAAGTGTGAAATTAACTAGAAGAGATAGGAAGTATGTTCATGCTAAATGTGTTGATGCTGCTTGTAATTGGAAGCTGCATGCAACTAAGATCAATGGAGAGGAGGCCTGGCAAGTGATAAAGTACACTCACACTCATACTTGTGCTGCCACAGCAAAGGTTAAAAATATTACATCAAGATGGCTTGCTGGTAGATATGCTCATGAGCTGCAAAGTGATCCTGATAGAAAGATTAAGGGTTTTAGCGACAGTAAAGTGAGGGAGCTGAGAGTGACATTCTCTAGAGCACAAGCATATAGGGCAAAAATGACAGCACTTCCAGAAAAGACTGGTTGTCCTAATGACCAGTATGCTCTTCTTTGGGATTATTGTGATGAGATTAAAAGGACTAATCCAGGGAGCACAGTGATTTTGGGTACTGATGATAGTAGTGGGGAGAACTTGTTTGACAGGTTCTACATTTGCTTGAATGCACTGAAAGTTGGATTTAAAGCTGGTTGCAGACCCATCATTGGAGTGAATGGCTGTCACTTGAAAGGCCCCAACAAGGGAGTGCTACTATGTGCTGTGGGAGTAGATCCTAACAATTTCTTGTTTCCTTTAGCTTATGCTATTGTTGAAAAGGAAAACAGAGACAACTTGGGAGTGGTTCATTTTGCTGTTGGAATTGGACCTTGAGATTGAAAATCAACATGAGTGGACATTTATTTCTGATAAACAGAAAGGACTGATTCAGGCCTTTCAACAAGTGTTGCCTAACTCAGATCACAGGTTTTGTGTGAGGCACCTTTTGGGTAACTTCAGAAATGCAGGTTTTAGAGGGATTGGGTTTAAGAATGCAGTTTGGAGAGCAGCTACAGCATCTACAGTCAATGATTTTTCAAGGAAAATGGATGCACTGAAAGGGTTGGAAGAGAGTGCTTATGACTGGTTAAGTGACAAACCACCTCATCAATGGAGCAGGTCGCATTTCAGTGAGTTTCCCAAGTGTGACATGTTGCTAAATAATGGCTGTGAGACATTCAACTGCAACATCTTAGAAGCTAGAAGTATGCCCATCTTATCAATGCTTGAGTGGATCATGAATTACCTGATGAAAAGGTCGCAACTGAATAGAGATAAGGCAGAAAAGTGGGATTTTTTATTTTGTCCTAAGGTGAGGGAGATAATTGATAACCATATTGAAAATTTGGTTGACTGTATCCCGTTGAAGTCTAATGATTTCAATTTCCAAATTGAGGTGTTCAATGGTGATCAGTTCAAAGTGGATTTGGAAAACAAGAGTTGTGGTTGTAGGAGGTGGCAACTGAGTGGAATTCCTTGTATCCATGCAGTAAGTGCTATTCATTTTCAAGGCTGGAACATTGATGATTTCATACATCCATGGTACAAGACAGAGACCTATAAAAAGGTTTATGCTCCAGCCATAATGCCCATCAATGGCAGAAAAGAATGGAGAAGGACAGGATATGCCCCTCCATTGCCACCTAATAATGGTAGAGCAGCTGGTAGGCCCACTAGAGTGAGGAGAATGGAACCTGATGAGGTTCAACCTAAAAGAATTAGAAAAAAAAGGGTTAAGCCTCGACTTGTGACTCCAGCCAATACTATCAAAAGGCAGCAAACAGGGTTGAAGTGCACTGTTTGCCATGTGGAAGGCCACAACAAGAAAGGCTGCCTTCTAATGAAGGAAGGTAATGCAGATCTTGCAGCCATTGGTTTAGAAGATAGGCCTCAAAAGCTGAAGGTACTTTTATAATGTTGGTTTATATTTAATAATGAATTCAAATTATGTTACCTTGTTTACTAAAAAGAAAATTTTTATTCTTTCAGGCTAGAAGGATGACAGACAAAGCTCCTGCAATAGGAATTTCAACTCAAGAAAGTGTTGTAACTGTAAGAAATACTTTTTTGTGCCTTATTTCATCATTGAAAATTCATAGTTGTATTTATATTATAAATTATCTTGCAGGGTGAAGGCCAAGCCCACAAGAAAAGAAAGGAAGGGAAAAAACAAACCACAGTCCCAAAATTCATTCAAGCACCTTCAATGTACAATCAATATACTTCTGCTCAGTTGGGTCCAACTTCTGGGGTGAACATTAGAGGGCCTCCTACATTTCAGGTGGGTCAGTTTATACCAAGTCAATAAAGTTGCCTTTCAGAGAGGGACACTAGGCTCAAACAAATATTTCAAGAAGGAGGACAGAAGTACATATCTGTGTCTGAGCTTATATCTGGCATGAACAATCCAAAGAAGAGTGATGATGGCAGAGGAAAACAGAAATTACTGTGATGATGGATGATTGATGATTATTCTGAATGTGTTGTTATGAACTTGACAGTTTTTTGTGTTTTGTACTTCAAAGTTGTTTTGCTGTGAATGGTTTTGCTGTGAATGGTTATGGTTATGGTGTGATGGTGAAAAGTTAAAACTGTGTTGTTTTGTTTGGGAAGGTTATGGTTATGAGATGTTTTGGCTTGAATGGTTTTTTGGATCTGAATTTGTAATGAATGATTTATGGTGAATGGTGATTGGTTTTAAAGTGTTGTGTTTTTACACCTTATTGAATTGTTGTGTGATCTCAGTTGGCAATATTTGAATTTTGATCTCAGTTGTCAATATCTAATACCTATTGTTTGTCTTTTTCAGTATGTGCTAACTGGTCAAAAAAACATTTCTGCAACATATCAATTCAATACACTTCATAAGCAACAAACACAGAAATCAATCCACTTCATAATCAACCAACAAATATTCAGTACATTATAACAGATCCCACTTTCTTTTTAATGAACAATTCAGTCTTTATTTCACTAAAACACATAAGATCAAACCAATACAAATACCAACAATAAACAAGTGAATTCTCTTCATCCTGTCCATCATCAACTTCACTTGAGAATCAAATTTCCCAATGGAATCTTCAAGCATTGAAATCTTCATCTTCAGAACTTTCAATTCAGCCTCCAGCAAAACAATCTTCATTTCAGATTCTTGAGCCTTACAACCCAAATCTTGATTATTCATACCTGATGAAGTTTCTGAGTTGATTTGAGAAGTTGGTTCGGCCCACATGAAAAAAGTGCACCCTCCTTCCTTCCACTTCTTACAACCATAGAATCTTTTCCCAGGATTCTGACTCGTCTTCGAAGTCCTCAATTGGGCCTTCTCTAGACAACCGCACAAAATGTCCGACGGAGAAGAAAAAGAAGACGCTGACATCTTCGTGATTTTCTTTTATTGATGTTTTGATACTTGAAATGAATTATTGAGATCCAATTGAAGGTTACGATTTTTAGGGTTCTTCGAAATACCCTAATTCTGGCCGATCGAAATGAGGGATTGGATCTGATTTGTGATTTTCCCGCAATTAATACTTCAGTCCTCGGTGGTCAACTCTTGTGTTGGGATTTCCCTCCAAAATTAGGCTACATGTCCACTGTGTCGGCCACGTAAATTCCACGCATGAATATACCGAAAGATTAAATGCCACGTAATAAGATAATCAGGCCACGTCAGATTTTTATCCCGCAGGGGTGATTAGTGTATCGTTTCCGACGAAAATGCCAACTTCGCGTGTCTTTTCCGAGATGGACAACATAATGTCTCTTATGTTGACAACGCCCAACTTAGTGTATCTTTTTTGTATTTTTGCCAAATAATTAAAGTCTTTTCAACGTAGATGTATTTTGTTTGTTTTAAAATAAATTATTAATAATCATCAATTAAATGAAAATTACATTAAATATGTTATATTTTCTATCATTATCAATAATTTTCATAATAATTAGTGACACGCAATATTATATATAATGTAAATCATTTTATGGATTCAAATCCCTTCTTTTACTACAAGAAAATGATGAAATTTCAACGAAAATATATTACAGTCGACTTTCAACGACAATCAAACGAATATTTCAATGTTATTAATCTTTGTTTTTTATTTTTCAATGAAATGTTTCTGATAAAAATATTTTGTTGGAATCATGGGCAGATCCATGTTTATAGGCCCTTATCCCAAAACATCTAGGATAAGGTATCAACAATTGTGGAAATTTTTTTCATAATTTTAATCATGTCCCCTATTTTAAAAATAAAATCAAAAGAAGAAAAATACATAATGAATTACTTTACAAATCAACCAATTATAACTTAATTTAGCTCATAACTTTATTAAAGTTACAACATAAACGCGGTATCACAACTAAAGAAAATATGAAAAAAAATCTCAAAATTATAGTTTTACCCTCTAATTTTATATTTTAATCTTGATGATAACTCTATTCTTTTTTTTTTTCAACATAATGTTTTCTCTTACTCTGAATGTATTTTTTATATATATTTTTTTAACCAATGTATGTGGAATTCTAGCTATATGTTCATAATTTATAAATTCATCAATTATATATTCGAGTTGAGTGAACTATACTACAATATAAATTTTTTGTTCATAAAAATTTTAAAAAACATATTATTTTCAATGGTTTTCTTATGTTGAATTTGAAAAATATTATGTTTTTTTTTCATAAATATTTTTTTAACTTATTGTAACTGTATTATTGTGTAAAAGCTTAAAAATATATTACGAATGAGAAAGATGACAAATTATAAAATTATAATTTATAAATTGTAATGACATTAAGTTATTTTGATGATATATTTTTTCTATTGACAAAAAATTCCTCCAACATAAAATTATTTTGGATATGCCACTACAATTAATTTTTCAATTGAACTTACACTGATTTGTTTACAATTCCAATGACACTTTTGTCACCGGTTGAAATATGGTCTGAAAAAAAATTAACGGAATTTTACACAACAATAAATAGTGGTAATTGGAATCATTAAAATTTCAATGTAATTTAATTTGATATTTGTTGAAATAGCCACTGAAATTTTCTAATGAAATTTATACCAATGAATATCCATTGGAGTTTTCAGCGGAATACATGCTTTCAGATTTTTCATTGCAATATAGCAATTTTTTTTGTATTTCTTATGAAACATTAAAATTTTTATGTAGTCGTTTTTGTTAGTACATATTCTTTTTTAAGAAATTGAGTTTGGAGTTCCTTGCTTGTGATCCATCATTGGGAAATCTCTCGTCAGTTCTCTGGTAATAAATCTCGGGTTCGTAATCTGGGGTCTGTTTCCTAAGCATATATGGCTTTCCTTCTTCGGATCGAGGACTGGGAGCTGGGTACTCATTATTTTATCTCTAGAATACCCATTAATTTCTCAGTTGAGTTACATTTCTTACATATTAATTATTAAATAATAAAATTAATTACTATTTTCTATATGTAATATGATATTTATATATTATATTTCAAAACTAATAGCAAATAAAAGGTTAAAAATTAGAATAATCATTTTTTCTTTAGAAAAAAATATATTAAAAGTTCTAACCTACATGGATTAAAATACAAATAACTATTGTTTATCACCTAAAATTTACACATATAAGTAATAAGCACAAAAAATTAATAAGTGTTTACAACTCAATTCATTTACATCGATAAGTACAAGTCTTAAAAGTTTATATTTACTTTTAATAATTATAAAATTTTTATTTGTTACCTTTTCATATTTATTAGTAAGTGTTACAACTTAATTATATTTATAATATTATATGTTTAATATATATATATATATATATATATGTGTGTGTGTGTGTGTGTGTATGTAAAACTTTTAGATTTGTTAATAATGCATAAAATTAAGTATAAAACTTTTTGGGTCATATGTCTTATTATAAATTAATTAATTGTATATCTTTATATTAATTTATCAATTGAGTTACATTTCTTACTTATTATCTATTAAATAATAAAAATAATTATTTTATATATGCAATATGATATTTGTATATTATCTTAAAAAAAAAACTAATGATAAATAAAAAGTTGTTTAAAATTGTAAAAATCAATTTAATTTTTTTTTAAAAAAAAATAAAAGTTCTAACTTACATTGATAAAGTAGAAATAACTATTGTCTATCACCTAAAACTTACACATAGAACTAATAAGCCAAAAAGATTAAAAAACGTTGAACAATTCGACTCGTTTACATCGAAAAGTAAAAGTTTTAAAAGTTTAATATTTAATTTTATTAATTATAACTTTATTATTTATTTCTTTTTTTATATTTATAAGTAAGTGTCACAACTTAAATACTTTTAATATTATTCTTCATATTTACTATTTTTTTACTTTATAATTCTTTCATATAATTTTAGTATATATATATATATATATTAACTTTCAGATCTTTAAAAAATAGATAAAATTAAGTATGGAACTTTTTGGGTCATATGCCTTATTATATATCAATTAATTGTAATATCTTATTACATTATATATAGTTACAATTTTTCTTTAATATTATACTCAAATATATAAATTTATTATTTCATATAAATTTGGATAGACAAGTACTGGTAATATATCGATATAATTTCTTCGTAAAAATTAATTAAAAAAAGAATGAAAGTAAAGAAAGGCAGGAGAGCAAAGTGTGACTCTTAGTTGCCAGGAGAGGAGAAATTACATTGACGAAAATACCAAATACAAAGGTATATCGCGCACGGGCCTAACTATACAGTTGCTCGCCACTCTTGCAGATAGAACTTTATTCACCAGATGGGTATTTTCAACGTATATATGCATATCATGATTCTCGAGATATTCTCAATTAATATGTAGATAATTAAATTTTTTTAACTATCATTGTTTATTTAGCGTCCATCTTGGCTCAAATAAAGTAATAACAATTAAAATATCATGATATATATTAATTAATTATTGAATAAAAAAGTTTAAATATTTTAAGCATTAATAATTAAATATTATTCACCTTGATATTTACCACCTAATGGTCAGTTGAAGATTCGTTAACTTTATTGACTTTGTGAGCAAAATTGAAACTAACAAACAAACAAATAAACAAATACATGACGATTTTTGTGGGACCAAAATCCAATCCAATAAAACTAAGGTTCAATTTCTATGTTAATTCTACATAAAAGATTTTATTTTCTTAAATATTGAAGTAGTTAAATGAATTGTTCACCTTTTAGTTTGTTCTATTATGTTTATATTTCACAATACATGATTTCAGTAAAATATTAGGTATCGTCTCTTAATTAATGTTAAGTATGTATCTTTAGAATTATTTATTATATACATTAAGTTGTCTTTTTTTACCAAGATTTATCGTTTGTTAAATTGTAAATAAATGGTTGAAAATATTTGGATTCTTTGTAAGTATTTATTATGCTATTTTTGTTGGATGAATTTAAAAATAAAATTATATATTATAATTATAAATATGATTACGATTTTACACTAAAATTATATTTAAAATAAAGAAGTTTTTCAAAACATCAATTATATATCCTTTCATAGCTTTGTTGGGTTGATTTTTGAAAGATATGAAAGAAAACAGTTTGACAGATATGTGAAAGAAGCAAATTGGTGATGAATAATGGTATGAGAATGTTGAGGTTGGTTTTTAGGAGAGATAAAATATTTTGTTCGTGTATCTATATTTAATTAATTAAATATTAATTATTAATTAAAAATATAAGATGATTATTGGTGTAGTATTAATTTTTAATGCAAAGTAAGAGTTGTTTAGGTAGTTCATTTGTTAATTAAAAATATAAAATAAGATGGTATTACTGTATTACTAATTTGTCATTAAAAATATATCAAAGTAAGGGTTTTTTTAGGCACATCATTATTTTTACAAAATTACTCGTCCTTTTATAATAAAAAAAATGTAGATATAGATAGATATAGATAGATAGATAGATATAGAATAGATATAGATAGATAGATAGATAAATTACTACTTATTTAAAGATATACTCAAAATCTCAATCAATTATCTAATCAATTAATTAACTTTATTTAAAATTAACTTACTTTTGACTCAAAATCTTCAATACAGAATTTGTTTTTGGAGAAAGTATTGAACAGTGTCTGACGAGAGACATTTTCCTTTCTCACTAATTTACACATTTGTAAGTTTTACCTTAAAAACTCATTGCACGAAGTTTTATGGGAGGACAGTGGCTAGGTGTAGGCCACTATTAGCTATTGGTTCGGGCCTCATTAAAGACTCTGGCCTTGCAATTAAAGGTTTCGTGGACTTCCGTGGCTGGTTGGGGTAATGTTATATTTCATCATCACCCAAACAGTAGAAGTAAGAGGGCTTTTGTTAAGGAAACGCAGTACAGTCAAAAAGCAAACTTTTGCAGTTTGATTGACCAATCAGCTTCCGAAAAGTGGCCGAATGTCATGTCACCCGTCTTTCACAACTCCAGCTAAATTATGTTTACATGTATAACAGTACAAGTATAAATACATTCATAGTATTATGTACGTGTGTAACGTGTCCATGATTATATTTTTGGACTAATATCTCTTGAATTAAGATGCACATTGAATTTCATACAAAGTATTGTACCGAAAAAAAAAATAGAAAAAAAATTCGTACAAAGTAGAAAAAAATCTATTGTTGGATCTAACTCATTTATATGGCGAGTATATACTAATCAAACGGTAAAAAAATTTCGACATATATGACCAAGAAGCTTGACTCAACTGGTCACGGGTTTATTATAAACCCTTGAACAATAATGTATCGAGATGTTTGTGGTTTAGTGTAGAAATCGTCGATTCCAAATCAGGTTCGACAGGTACATCACCTTTAAAAATAAAAAGATATAATAAAATGTCGACCCTTTGATTTCAGTTGGACCGTCAAGTCCATGGATCAAAGATCGTTGAACTCCCAATGGCTACAAAATACAACGTTCGAAAAAATAAATATAATTATTGGACTCACTAATTTCAAGTAGTCGTAAAATTTCAAAATCAAAATATAAATTTCAAATTTTACTGCACTTAGGTCGGCGCGAGAACCCAACGTGGTTGCCTATTTTGGGTTAGGCCCAGGCCTGCCAAGTCAAATAAAATATTATGGACGGCTCAAAACACAACTCTAACGGCAAACGGAAAGGAGAAGCTCGTTAGTTTGGCATGACTTATTTGACAAACGAGCTGAGTTCGAGCTCATTAAGACTTGATATAACTTTCTATAATATGTCTCGTTAATATTCGGATTTGACTCGTTAATATTTATTGGTATGCGAGTCGAGGAGCTCGAGCACAATTACTAACTCATTAAGTTAACAAGCTCGTTACACACACACACACACACAGCACCTCATCCCTATCATAGTAAACTACTCTAGTCTATAGCATGCGACAAAGCCCTTTTTCCTTCTTAAATGCCCTTATTATCTCTTTCTCTCATGTTTGTGTGAGTGTCTTTTGTTTTTCTCACAGTCTTTAAAGTCTTTGTGAGCCTGTGTATGGGAACAGAAAATTAAAGGGGCCTCCCCCACTACTTTTAAATCTTTTCTCAGATTGGAAATGTCTCTCCCTTTTTTCAGGTGTTTGTAATATCTCTTTCTGTAATTCTTGCACTAAAATTCAATTGGCCTACTGTTCNTGTGCTGAAGGGCGGGCAGTGTTTGGTGACGAGGCAGTGAACAATGAATACCTAAAAAACACTGTATTGGTCGTGGAAATAATTAGCTGGACCTCACCACACCTCATCCTCATGGACCTGCAAGCTGCTCCTCTTCTTATCTACACACACATGACCCATACTGTTTGCACTCATCAAATGGAGAAATAACATACATATTGCTGTATATTCTTTACTCTACATTTAAAAAATAAATAATAATAATAATTATCTAGGTAGAGAGGGAGAGAATATGGATGAACTATACAGGCTCCAGTTTGGGTCAAGTGAGGGCATTAATTGGAACCCTAACAGTGAGTTCCTTGGAGATGGCAACAGTGACGACATTAATAATGGCGGAGGACAACAACAACAACATCGTCAACTGCTTGTAACAGATGAAAACCATAATAAGGGGCTGATGTCAGACGTAATCAAGGCCCAGATTGCTAGTCACCCTTTATATCCCACCTTACTCTCTGCCTATATTCAATGTCGAAAGGTTTGTGCTATTCCTCATTTTTTTTTTCTTCATCATATTAAAAAGTTAATGAAAAACCCTGTTTCATAATAATTTACTAACACAGTTACAGGCCCACACTAGTTTTTTATTTCCACTAATCTTCTCCAGTCTCTCTCTCTCTCTCTCTCTCTCTCTCTCTCTCTCTCTCTCATCATATATATATATAGTGTGTGTGTGTGTGTGTGTTTTTGTGTGTAGAGTAGTAATTTGTAATAATGTTTGAAAGGTTGGGGCGCCACCAGAAATGGCTTCGGTTCTTGAAGAAATCAGCCATGAAAATCTTCCCATGTCCACTTGTTCTCAAATCGGAGCAGATCCTGAACTTGATCGTTTCATGGTAAATAAATTGAATTTGTGGTTGCAAACGTAAAAGGTCAATGTACACCTAAAAGTTGCAATAATGTCTTACCATTCTCTGGTTTAGTTAGTAGTCTTATTTTCTTTCCCATAGCTAACTAACTACTACCATGCATCATTTAATTTCTATGAACATTTTTTAATTAATTAGTAACTAACTAATTAATTTAGTGTTGGACTCAAATTTTATAATTTGGTTAAGGAATCATATTGTGAGGCACTACAGAAATACAAGGAGGAGGTTTCAAAGCCATTTGATGAGGCAACAAATTTCTTAAGCAAAATTCAATCTCAGCTCACAGACCTCTGCAAACAAACCCTACCATCAACCACTTATTCCTCCTATCCTTGGCCTGGTATGGTACAAACCTTCATTTCAGCTTTCCTTTGTCTTCTGTGATTTTCAGACAAATTTTACAACACTTCAATCATTTTGGTTAAATATTTTATTTTATATTTTGTTTTATTTCTTTATGTTAGAATATTTTTGGTACAATAATCTGGTTATTACAAGAAATATTCTCTCTTCTCTACCCTAGTTGATTATTGTCCATATATGAGACCATGTACAGAAAGGATGGGTCAAAACAAAATCATGAGTTTAGTATTTGGATGTTCTTCTCTCTCTTGCAGTGGTTTTATTTTCCTCTATTTGTTTATTGTTGAAAAAGAAGTAAAAACGTAAGAAAATATTTGGTGGCGCTAACCTAGCAGAGGAACTAACAGATATAAATCAAAGTATTTGAGAAAATTTTGCTAAAAATAAATTAGACCAAAATACAAAATTTAAAAAGAAAGTATTTGACTAGAATAATACGAAATATTTGTTGAATGAAAGGGAGAAATTGAGAATGTTGAACTATTACAAATAGTAAAATCTTAATGTTTGTTCATGAGTTTACACCACTCGGGAGGGTGAGGTTAAGGCGGAACCCCCAACTTGTATATATAAAAAAGCCCTAAATGGGCTGAATTGTTCATGAGTGTACTTAATCTTAGTGATATACATGTATATATTAATTTTAATAATTTAATTTTAATTTGTTTATGAAAAAGTTTATGACATTTTAAGACTTTAATAATTTTTCAGGTTTTTTTTCTAATACTTTAGTGTGTAATGTTCGTTTTTCATGCTTTAGGTACTTATTAATTTTTATAACCATGTATATTTTTTAAATCTTTAAAAATATATTATCTTAATTTTTTGTTATATTATTATTGAAACGTCAATCATTTGACATGAAGTTGATGGAAACAAGGTTGTCATTGGATATGAATCTTTTTTTATAACTTTAAAAATAAAAATAAATTACTATTAAAAAATTTTACTGTTACCACACTTTTTCAATTTACTTTTTCTTTTCAACGATTTTTTGTTCAAATGAAAAATAAATGTTAAAGACAAAAAGCATATGCACACACATAAATCGTTCTCTCCTATGTAGTATATACTGTTACACAACTCTCCTCATTCTTTATTCTTCTTTTATTACAACTCATATTTGTCACAACAGCAAGGCTGTTACGGATGCCTAATAAGTAGAGAGTAATATCTTTTCAATAAATATACATATATTTAATTTAAAATGGTTAACTCTACAAAATTATATAAATCAAAAAATGTGCATTTTATAATATAAATATAGATATTTAGTATATGGTTAAGCTGCACACATGAAAAATTTGTGTGGTTAAGGCGCCAAATCTATTGGAATCAGAATTACAGAGAATAAAATGATCTGATAAATCACATTTGGCATCACGCGACACCCAAACAAATCTATACTTATATAAAAAGTCATCTTATTTACTAGAAATAGTTGGCAGAAAAGTCAAAGGTAATTAATGCTTGCTGGAAATAGAATGATATTAATTACAGATTTGTTTTGGTGTTTATAGGCTTGACATTAAAGATTTGTTATGGGATAAAAATCAGAACCGATTTTTTTACCTTTGCTAGAAAAGTCAAAGGTAAGTATAGATTTGGTTTATCCCATAGCATCGATTTAGTTAAGAAAATCCCATCAAATGAGTTTTATATGTCAAGCCTATGAATAAAGATTTAATCGGTCAAAATTAAATCCTTATTTTACGTCACCCATAAATAAAGTAGATGTCAAGCCTAAATTGAAGGGTTTAAATGTCTATATAGTCATTGATTTACGTAAATACATCTAATGTGTAAAGTTTGTGTAGATTGAAAGTTTCTTCTTATCTTTTTACAAAAATCTTATTATTATTGTATGGAAAATTAAACTCATAATGTTGTGTATAAGGTTGTCTTTATTAATATATGATTGTTTGTTTGTCGAATACTATCTTATTGTATAATTTTCCTGCGTATTATAAAACTTGAATATTGCATCTTATAATATAGTATTCCGCAAATAAATATATCCCGTGCCTCGCACGAGTCACGTACTATATATATCCCGTACATTTTTCTGTATTCATGTATATAATTATAAGTCTGGATAAATAGCCTTAAAATTGTGCATCCCGTGCATCGCACGGGCTCTGTACTAGGTTTTAGAAAAACTCATCATAATTAATAACAAATAGATGGCAGAAAGCGGCAAAATTTCAAAATTTGTCCTATAATTTGGCTACTGTCCAAAAAACCACCCCGATATTGACCACTTTAAATTTAGGTCTTATAATTTGTCGATTTCATCAATTTTGATCCTTTTTTATCCGCACCATGGATTAAAAAGTGACGTGGCATGAAAAAAGGACTAAAATTGATGAAATCGACAAATTATAGGACCAAAATGACATGCCACGTAGATCGTAATCACGTCATGTAACATTAAAAAACTGACACGTCATGCCACGTCACTTTTTAATCCAGGGTGCGGATAAAAGGGACCAAAATTGATGAAATCGACAAATTATAGGACCTAAATTGAAAGTGGTCAATATCGGAGTGGTTTTTTCGACAGTGGTCAAGTCATAGGACTAATTTTGAAATTTTGCCGGCAGAAAAGCCAAGGAAATTTAGACCTATGAAAATAAAAAAAAATCCCACAGCACATGAAAAAAGCACGTGAGAGGATTCATATCACATCACACGAGCACAAGAGGACTTAACTCAATCTTTGTACAGGAGAGGAGAAAAAAGGAAAATGCTATGAAACCATCCGATGGCTCCGTTATGGAGTCATCCTCATTGAAAAACGTATTCTGAGAATACGTTTTTCAAATAAATTTATTTGAAAAACGTATTTTGAGAATACGTTTTTCAATGAGGATGGCTCCATAACGGAGCCATCGGATGGTTCCATAGCAGGACTGGGAGAAAAAAATAGGGTACAATATATAACAGTGGAGTTTATATTATGGATAGTATATTCGAATAGTTACAATAATGTAAACTACGTATCAAATTAATATGGAGAATATCAAGCACATTTTGCACGAGCTGATAGCTTAAATCCATCCTACATAATTCATAATATTGACCTAGTTTTGAGTATCATATACATTAGATGGTGGTTGTTGTCCATCAGACGAGGACTTGAGCTATGGAGAAATGGATGCAAATGGAAGTCGAGAATCTAACAACAATCCTGAAGGTGATGGTGAGCTTAAACAGATGCTAATGCGCAAATACAGTGGCTACCTAAGTAGCCTGAGGAAAGAGTTCCTCAAAAAGAGAAAAAAAGGTAAACTGCCTAAGGACGCAATTGTTACATTGCTCGACTGGTGGAACGCACATTATAGGTGGCCTTACCCCACGGTAACTCTTTTTCCTTTTCTTTTATTCTCTTTTGTTTATGTCTAGGTTGAAATCCCGGTTTTGCATTGTTCTGATTGAAAATGGTTTGAAAAACGGGTTGTGCAATATGATCTTACATATGTAGGAAGAGGAGAAGAGCAGATTGTCGGAAATAACCGGATTAGGCCAGAAGCAGATAAACAACTGGTTTATCAACCAGAGAAAACGACACTGGAGACCCTCAGAGGACATGAGATTTGCTCTCATGGAAGGGATTGGTGGCAGTGGTAATAATGCAGGATCTACATATTCGGATGCTACAGGAGGAAACGGTAGCATTGGAATTTGACCAAACTAACCTTTTGGCAGTGTATTTGATTTGGCAGTTGAGAATATCCGACTTATGGCTGGATGGGACAGTAGTTGTTGGTGTAGTTTGCTGCATTTTGTGGACAATATGTGGATTGAACCTTTTAAATGCATAATAATAAGTACATTGAGTTTGCTCTGCTTCCATTATGTTTGGGTTCAAAGTCTCAAGACTTAAATTCATCTGAACCATTTGAGTAATATGCCAGGACAGCAGTCATAATCGTTGTTGTTTACATCATTCTACTCATCTTTTTTCTATTTTTTGTACCCAAAAGAAATTGCTTGCATCGTTCTGAAGATTATAACAATCATATATATATCTTTACAAATAATAATAATAATAACACGAGCTGAGGAGGTTAATGATAATCTATATCTATTTACTAAAAATAGTAGTAAAAATTTTTGGTAGCATTTAATGCATATCTTTTTTGGAAACTTTTTAAATATATGCCTTAATTGCTTCTATATACACGTTTTCAAATAAGATCAAATTAGCTATGATCAAAAATATTGTCTTCTTAAATAATTTTATTAATATCTGCAATAATTTCATTCATATCCATTATAATAAATTAGGAAAAATTAGAGATTTAGTCATGTAAGTGGACCCAAATTGAGGTTTAGTCCTCTCCGATGCCCACTTTTGGAAAACGTCCCGTAAGTGCCAAAAATCATGAGAAATCGTCCTCACACCGGCTATTAAGTTCTAATAATCATATTAATTTTTATTTTCACAAATATTTACTTTTTATCCAAAAATATTTATAGAAAATTGTAACAGATTAGGTAGAATTTTTTCATCTATTTAATTAGAAGAAATCAAGTTGGTGAATTAATTTAGAAGTTTTCCTAGCTTTGACTTTAAAGAAGAAAGTTTAAGGTAAGCGAATAGCTGATGCTACCTCAAAGTTGTTGCTGTTTGGAATGGCTAAGGAAGCGGCCAACTTAAAGCTTCCCGCCTATGAGACCTAGTTGCTCGTATCGGCTATTAGTTCAATGAGCAATTCTTTGTTGGCCAATTTGCTTTAAATTGGCCAACAAACCTAACTAAGATAGAAATTCTTTCAACGAATCTGCCACTCGGTTTATCCAACTCTCTCTTCTCTGACTCATGCAAACCCCACCTAGGGCCTCTTGCACTCGGGGAGTTGCAATTCTTCAGAGCATCATTGAATATTTAATCTACGGTGTTATCGATCTCGAGAGAGATGATAAGCTAAATTTGTGATCATTTTATACAAGAGATAAATAAAACATTAGTTGTGATATTTTTGAAGGAACCCAACTATTAATTGAAACCACAATTTTAGAATCTATCATTCTCATATATTTGTCTTACGTGTGTTTCTAGTTAATTCTCTGTTCTTGCTTTATTCTTTTTTTATTATCTTTTCTTCGTTTAGTTAATCCATCTCATATTCGGTCGTCTAAATAAAGTTGACACTATTATAATCTTATACTTGATATATTAATTATTTGGTCTCTTGGGATACGACCTTGCTTGCCACATACTACGAGCGAAGTCATACACTTGTGGTCGAGCTTTAAAAATATAGGTGAACAATAGCTCACGGAGATGACCGGCCCGAGCGTGGCCTCCGCCTCTCTTTCCTCTGTTGAGTTAGTCTTCTCCGGCGGCTCTCTAGTGGGGTGGGCGGGGTGGCGGGTGCAGTTTGTCGGGCCTCCTGTGGGCTAGATTGAGGCCGACGCCGGCTCCTCCCCTGATTTCCCTCGTCTCCTGGGGTTTGAGACGGGGTTGTCCGTCTGACTCGAGGGCTCTAGTCGGGGTTGTGTGGAGGTAGGGGTGGTGTGGGCCTTCCGGGTGCGGCTCCGAGTTGGACCGCGGCTCGTTGGGGTGGATCTATGTTAGCTCGTCTTCTCGGGAGTGGATAGGTTGCGTCCTGAGCTTTGGCCTATCTTGGGGGTACCATCGTCGGCTCTCGTCTTCTGCGGTGTTGTGTTGGAGCGGTGGCCGGTTGTTGGGAGGGCTTGTTTGGGTGTGTTTTGCTTTGTTCTTGTGTTTTTTTGTTGTTTTTGGTGTTGTGGGTTTTTTTTGTTTGTGTTGTTTGTTTTGTGGTTGTTTGTGTGTTGATTCTCCCTTTGGGAGTGTTTGTAGTATTTTTGGGCATGTGGTAACTGAGTTACCCGACTCGGATCGTTCTCAAAGGAAGACTCTTCGGAGCTTCGTTCACTATCTAGTCGTCTAAGTCATACAACCGAAAATGGGGTCCTACACATTCTACTCGCTATTTGGGGTTGGTTTTGCGTGAATTTAAACTAATAACCTAAAGAAAATCATTAACAATGCGAGAATCAAAAGAAAAATCGAACATTAATCACCCGGAGTTTCCACGACTCAAGCAAAATAAAAGCAAACAAAAGCAACATGCTATGTCAAGACGATCCTAGGTAACCTAATACGAGCTTCCTCAACTAAATCATCTCGCTTTACATAAAGTCGAGACCTCTACACGAGATAAGCACACATTAAATTCCTAACACACCTAAACGAGCACGAAAAATAAAGTAAAACCTAGAAACGAGCTTAAACACATAATCAAAAGACAAAATCGAAATAGTAGGGTCTAAGCAAGATACCTACTTTTCTATCGCATGCTCGGATGAACATAATGAATAAAGATAAAAAATTGGATAAAAGTACAGTTACCGGAATTTCGCCGGAAAAGTCGAGTCATGAACCTCCAACCAAGAACAAGAAAAATGTAGAGAGGAGGAGAGAAAATTTCCCAACTCTAAGGTTGGGAAATGAGGGAAGTGTCTTGCAAATACACACAATACACATATTTATACACACACACAAACACACACTAAAAACACACACATTAACTGAATTGAACTCGCAGGTTAGGGGCTGTTCTCGAGTTAGCACTTGATTTTCACGGGCAATGGCTGGAAACTCGCAAGCTACGCCACACTCGCAAGGTAGGCTGGACTCGCTGGGTAGGTGGGCATTTTCGCAGCTTGCGAATCTAGTTCTTGAGGCTCGATTGACTCTAATTCATCGCACGCTTCTCCGATTGACTTGAAATTTCGACGCACGCTCATCAACTCTTTTTCTCGTCGTCTTGAGATGCGCAAGTAGACACAACCATGCAATTAATAAATATCCTCGGAATGGCTCGGAAATGGTCTGCATGACTCAGAAATGTCTCGGAATGGCTTGTCTTCCCAAACACGAACAATTTGGACCTAGTCAACACCAAAGAGACAAAAAAAATATGTTGAAATACAAAAACACATGACGAAAACAAAAATACACGAAACACGATAAAATGAACCGGTTGACATAAAACCGAACCTAAAAATGACTCAAATAAGGCACACAAAACACAATAAAATACCACAAAAACATAACAAACAGGGAGTTGTGTTGATTCTCATGTTGGGAGCTTTCTGTGTTTTTTATCCCCTTGGGATTTTTTTATTCTCGTTAGTGCGTTGTAGTGTCTAGGCTGCCCTTTGGGTTGTCCTCTCACTAGATTCAGCTAGGTGGCTGTTTGGCTATTCTGACTGTTGTCTAGATGTATTTAACATAAATTCTACGTATAACTATAAGAACTTTTAAATTTATAAAACACTCAACTAACTTAAATTATAAATATATTTAAAAGGTAACAATTAATCAAATATTGGTTTATAATACATCAAATTAATCATTATTTGACGAGCTTTGTATATTGCACATATAAAACAAATAAATATTTTTTTATATAAATATTTAATAATATATTAATACTAAATAATAATTAATAAAACTATATGTCAATTCAAAAAGTCATCTATAAATCATTACATATGAATTCAAAAAATTATTATAATAATAAAAGGGTAAAGCATACATAAAAAAATATAATTTTAAATACAAATAATAATATTTCTTTTTAAAAAAGTATTTGAATTGTAGAAAAAAAAAACAATCTTATACTTTTTTTTATGAATGTGAGTATAAATTTTTAATTAGCACACGTGTTATCACGGGTGTTGTGCTAGTATGATATAAGTTAAAAGATTATTATAATATAAGACGAATAAGTCGTATATGAGACGGATGTTGCTTTAAATAAAAATAATAATGTTTAGAAAAGTATATCTTAAATTTAAACAATGTTTCTATCACTTGTTACAAATATAAGTTGAAATTTTCCTACTGACAAGTTGTGTAATATACGGGTGCTATACTAATAAAAATTAAAGTAAAATATAATTAATTAATAATATAGTTTTTAATTTTAGGAAGGAAAAAAAGAAAATACTCTAGCTAGTACTCTTGCCTATTTTTATTACATATAGATAATTAGATATACTAGCATGCTCCAGTTGTGCCAAGCACAGCCGCCCCAGAGTATTTTTTAAATTTGTTATTAATTTAATAATTCATAATTGATAGTTTTAAATAATATTTAAACATTTTGAAACTATATAAAAGTATACATTGTTAAATTTATAAATTTACTGGATAATCTTAAATTTAATTCATTGAGTTGGTTTGATTTACTTTTTAACAATAACAATTGTACATCACATACTTGTTTTAACCAAAATACTTAAATTACATTAAAGAAAAGTGCAATCATAATCAGTGTCACATACATTTCTTTAGCGTTTACAAAAAATTACCCTTAATATAGTAAATAGTATTTTGCCTCTTTAAGACTTTGGTAATGAGAAGCCTTATTCCCTTCAACAACATAGAGTGATGTTTGTTTATGAAGAAATAAGCTTCAACACGTGTCATCCAATGCTGCAAATTCCACCAATAACAATTTAAATTAAATGTAATAAAAACCTACAAATTAAAAATCCGCTCTCATTTCATTCATCAAATATCTATTTATGCTAGACTAAAAAACACTTCAACAAATTTTGGTCAACCACCAATGTTATATATCATTTAAAATAAGGATTAAAAAAATATAAATATTTAAAATTAAACTCATGCATGGAACTTTAGAATTTTTTATTTTTTTTTCTCAAACGATAGACTTTATAAATAACATGAAAATACAACCGGTTCACTAACCGGAAAGAGGGAGGTCTACCACCGAAAGTAGCCTGAATCACCACACTACGAAACACACAAAGAACTAAAACCCCACTATTGAGGAATACACACTCCCCGTCGGGAGAATTCACACTCCTAAAGAGGAGAAAAAAACACTGACGCACACAAACAACACTAACACCACA